GTAGCTTGGGACACTATTGTAGACCACTGGATTAAAGCACTGCTCAGGAGTTATGCTGCTACTTGCCAGTCTACATTTAAAGTAGAAAGTTTCTTTTGGTGCCTTAAGCTATGAATTTTATGCATTCCCTGGTTTTAGAATACACTTAAAGTGATAACTCCTTCACATGTTGCTACAAGTTTATTCCCAATTTTGCCATTAGGAATTTGGCTGTAGAAAGCTTTTAACAAAAGTTAACAATAATGTCATTGAAAGAATAATTCAGACCAAATTTTAACTGAGGGTTTTAAAAATAATTTCATGAGCATAGTTTGAACACTTAGCATGTAATTGTTGTTAAGCCAATAGACATTTTCTTTAATATGGTAAATTGACCATTTCTACATCAGGACACAAACTAATGGTTTGAATGATTACAGATTTGATGGTCACTAAGCAATTTTTCTGTTTTCCTGTAGACTTGGATTATCACTTGCATTTATCTTCAACTGCTCCTATTTAATCCTCTTGTCAAAACTAAAAGTATCTGCGAGAATCGTGTGACTGATAATGTAAAAGACGTCACAAAATTGGTAAGTAAGAATTCTTTCAGTAACTGTGATTCTTTTTCTTGTGCTTGTTGGTCAACAATTTAAGTTTTGGGTTGTTTTTTCTTTTTTGGCCCCAAATTAGTATCATTAAAAGAAAAATAAACCAGCCAAGTTTCAATAGAGCAAATCTTAACACAATTTAAATCAGGCAGTTGTCCCTGGACTTCTGGACAACTCGAGCTAGTTTCATGATTGGCTCCATATTTAAGTTTTGGACAAGGGAAAATGATATACAAAAATGAAAGTGGAGGAATGAGATAGAGAAACGATTGGATTGGTGGACAGTAGGGTGTACCCCCCCCCAAAGGTGGGCTTTCTGTGATTGACTGAAGTATGGCTAGTGTGATTGGCTATAATCAAGCAATCAGCTCAGAAAAATAGCCTACCATGTATGATTTTGGCTTACTCATAGGAATGCAAGTGTGGGAGTACACTTGCTGTTTAGGCCAAAATAGTTTAACAATTTCTCCAAATTAGTATTTTTCCAAGACAAGGAAAGGAATGATTGAGTTACTGAGAACTCATGAAGAGCAGGTAGGGAGTTTAAAGTCAAAAGGATTTGTTGATATAACTGGCCTGTTGTTCCCTCTACAGTGACTGTTCTGGGGGCTTGTTTTCTTCCTTTATTTACAGGCAGTGAAGGAGGTCTCTATGAGAGGTCACTCAATGCTGACGCTCCTTGCCTATTGTCTTTTCAGTGGGTTCTTCAACTGAGCCTTCCTACTCTAACAAGCCTAGCTAAAGGAGCCCTGAGATGTCCAGTTTCCTTTTCCATCATGAAGATCCTGCCATGGCTAGGTAGATACTGACTCCCCTCAGGAAACATAGTTGGAGGGGCATTTTGTTGTTCAAGAGTTGAATAGGCTCATCTTCCACCCTTGTTACATAGGAACTCTTCCTTGGCAAGAGCCCTTTCACACTGGAGTCCTTTGGTTACTGCCAACTTTGTGCCATTTTTCTTCTGATGTTTCTTTTAAGATTCAAACCACAGAGAAGGCGTAACACATCTGGACTACATTTTTACCAATCCTTACCATCTATGGCAGATTTTACATGATTGTTTGTGCTGTGTAAGCTTTCAAGATGACAAAGATTGAGAAGCATTTTTAGGAGTTCCTGACTCAAAAGAGCCAGGTAGCCCTCAGTTACTTGAATGTTGACTAGATAACAGAGGTAAAGAGGTGATGTAAGATTAGGGAAGAAATGAGAGTTGTAGTACAAGAAAAAGAAGAAAAGTATATTTGTTGAGATCATAGTATAGAGTGGAAGAGGCCCTATTGATCTTCTCTGCTCTTGATACACATTTTTTGCCTTATATGTTTTATATGGGGGTCCTAACAGAACTTTAAGGCAGAAATTTAATACTGTGAAGTCATGCTAGCTCAGCCTCAAAGCATAATCAGAAAGACACACACAATTTGTGCAGATTTCCTCCAAAGACATCCACAGCATCTGCTAATAAAAGCTTTCTTTGATGCAGCAACTGAAGATGGATCAACATGTTTTACTTGAGGGAGTGATGAGCAATGCAATGCAACAGTTGTCTACAATATAACCAGCTAGATGTGAATATAGGGATGGGTTGAGAGGAAGTATTTTTTTAAAAAAATACATTGTGGTCCTTTTCCTTAAGTTGTTTGTTTGTGACCCAAGAAACAAAGACAGAAAACTATAATAAATCTATTTCCAGCAAACCTAATCATTATGAGAGGATATATGTTTATGTATATTAATATATGCATATATACACATACATGGGATTACATACATTTATGTACTATGTTTGTGCACATGTATATATACATATCCATGCATACATGAATATCCACATGTAAATACATGAACCACAGATCAAAGCATTTACTAAATCACAACTAAATAAAATAAATATAATAAATTATTTCTCATGTTCTGTCCTATTAATAAGAGCATTCTTAAAACATTCGCAAATATAAAGCCAAAAAAAGTGTGAAAAATCTTTATGACATGATTAAAATGATATTGTTAGTCATAAATTCTGGTTGATGTTGAATTTTGCAATGTTTACATATCTAAACTCCCAACTACTGATTTAATTCTGCAATAAAGCTATGTTTTCTTTTGGCAAACAAAACAAATAAAACAACTTGTGTTTTTGTTGTAAATTTTATGTATATTAGTAGAAAGTGTTCATTGTTTATCTGGTGAATGAAGAAATTACATGCTCTGTTTTGGTGAGCACCATAATCACCTGTGGTGCTTATTAAAAATACAGGTGTAGGGACCAACAGATGGCATAATGGTTATGTCACTGGATTCTCACATAGTCAACTGCAGTGCGAGTCCCAGACTCAGTGGCTTAAAACTCACGCAGGGTGCATGTGTGTACATGCCCAAAATCCCAAGAGTAGAATGGAGGAGAAAGAACTGATAAGTGGCCATATTCCCCAGGGAATGATTTCTCACTTTCTATCTATTTTCTTTCTGTCTCTCTGGTGAGCGCACAAGCCTCATAGCAAAAAACCTCTATTAAAAACAAAAATACATGTGTCTTGGGCTGGCTCAGTGGCCTAGTGGTTAACTAGAGCTGACTGTGTATGTATGCGTGCTCCAAATCCCAGCATGTTGGAGAAAAGAAGGAGAAGAGATTGTGGCATGACTATACCCCATTGGAGGGTGCTTTCTCCCTCTCCCTCTCTCTCTCGCTCTCTCTCTCTCTGGTGAGTAGGTGAGTACACATGCCCTCTGGCAATTAAAAATTTTAAAAAAGGAGGGGGGAATTACAGATGTCTGGGCCTCACTGATTCAATAAATATGAAAAAGAGTTCCAGGCACCAACATTTTTAACAAATTTCTGAAAAGAGATTTAAGAACTATGGCCCTTCCTGGTCTATTCTGTCCAACTTTAGAGATGAAAATGTCTTGAGTCTAATTTAATCTCAACTCATATTATGAGTAGTTTATATGTGTGTATATGTGTGTGTAACATATAGATATGTAAGGATGTCAAATTAATGTTAATCTCCAAAATATGCTTAAAGTAGGTCACTGGGAAACCACTGCTCTTATGGAACTGCTTGTTTAACCATGAGAGCTGAGTTTGAGCCAAGGAGACCTGCACTGGTCCTAGGGAGCAAGTTTCAAATATGTGAGCAATGAAGCATAGTTAGATTACAGTATATCTGATCACCGATTGAGTAAATCTAAGATTAACATGGTATTTTAAAAAGTACTTGTAGGAATTATTATTTGCTAAGTGTTTAAGGAGTACTACCTAGTAAATACCACTTCTTGTGAAATGACAAACCAATATTTTATGGTGGTGTAAACCACTGTTAGTATTACCTACCAAGATCTTCTATTCTCCACTTTAACCTCTACATCTTATCAACCTGATACAATGAAAAATGGCAAGAAGCATTAATATGAGAAATAAGAGAAGTTTTGGAAAAGAATATTTATTAACATTGACACTGAAATATAATGACTTATGCCATGGGCAAATGGCAAATCATTAAACTGAAGAAAAAGGCTTTTTTCTGTCTGACACCAGGGACAAAAATTAATTTCAAGAGTTGCTTTAGTGAAATTAGTATATTTTCTTTTGATCATATTTTTTAATAAGTCACTTATAAAAACAAGTCAAATTAATAAAAAAATGAACTGTGAAGATCATTTCTAATTGAATTAAAGACTTACACAATGTATGGCTTATATTTTATAAACAATAGAAAAATATAAAACAATCCCTGAGTTCAGAGCATTTATAGTCTAGTTGGGAGATATTTCATCTCATGAAAATATGAATGCACATCCCAAGTTCTGTAAAAGTAACACATAAATCAACGCCATTATAAAGGACCCAACCTGTGCTAATATACTGGCTAAAAGAATGGGTCTTGAAATCTGGCAGACCTGTGTTTAAAGCCCAGGTCTTTGACCTTGTGTAAGTAATTGCCTTTCTAAGTTTCAGTTCCTTCATCCCAATTTTGTAGTTTACATTAAATAAATTTTGTTATCAGTTATTATTATATAACTTCCTTGTGCTTTGGTTTCCTTATCAGTATGACAGAGAGATTAACAGTGTTGAACCATATACAAGTTGAATATCCCTTATCCAAAACACTTGGGAACAGAAATGTTTTGGATTTCAGATTTTTTTAGATTTTAGAATATTCACATATACATAATGAGAAATCTTGGGGATGGGACCCACATCTAAATGCAGAATTCACTTATGTTTCATAGACATCATATATATATATGTATATATATATACATATATATATATATATATATATGTATATATATATATAGCCTCAAAATCATTATAATATATTTTCATATTGCAACACTTGACTGCAACCATCAAACAACAAGGCCAGGTATGGAATTTTCCACTTGTGGCATCCTGTTGGTGCTCAGAAAGTGTCTTATTTTGGAGCATTTGAATTTTGGATTTGGGACTTAGGTATACTCAACCTGTTTGTGATTGTGAGGATTAAAAAAGTAAGACAGTGCCTGGTACAAGCATAAATACCTGCTAAATCTAACTGGTAGTAGTTGTGGTAGGGTTTGGAACTGGAACTGCAAGGGAATTTAGAGACAATGTAAATGAACCGTTTTATAAATACAGAAACTGAGACCCCACAGTAATAAAATCCAGCTTCCTGTCCCATCACTACAGTTGTGACTTTTAGAACAGTGATTTCCAAACTGGTCCTAGAACCCACTAAGCCACTTAGCTTTTATATCTATATTTGGGTTTTCATACAGATTTATCTTTGAAAAGACAATCATATTATGAAAACATGTCTGAAAGTCACTGCTTTAAACCAGAGTTCTTGGCATATCATTGGAGAACCACCTGATCACAGTCCCTTAAGGGACTACAGGTACAGTTGATAGGATACCACTGCAGAAATACTGAATCTCAACTTGTGGAGATGAGGCATAGGCCCCTTAATGTTTCTGTTAGCAACTCATGTGACAGAAGTATCAGG